TCGATGGTTGAAGCTGACTGAGCCATGAAACGTGAATTTGCCATAAGTTCGTGTACCCTCTTTTTGACCAAGTGATGTTTTCTTTGAATACTTTTTTTTCTTTTCTTTTCGTTTTTTTTCTCTATCGATCGGATGCGCTGGAAATTTCATAGTAACCATGACTATATACACTTTGAAAATTGGTTGGCTTTTGTTTTTTTCCCGTCATATTTCTCTTTACGTAGCATCTATTATTTCCAAAACATTACTTATTTTAATTCTAATTCAGCTGGCCCGTTTAAAGGAAAGATAATTGTTTACCAGTGCATGAAGTTATTCTTTCATTTATTTCAATTTTTATCTTTTTTAACACTTACACATATTTTGAAGAACCCTAATACGAATAAAAACCTTCGCTGCAATTGGATTCCACAAACACAAATAATGGATAAATGTTGAAAAGGGAAACGCAACGTCTAAAAATAAATAAATAAATAAAATACAATAAACAAAAAAGCCTCAACTGACATATCGTTAAGTAACAGCTGTGTCAAACCATCCTAAGACTGCAGCATTTAAGGAATCTTTTGTGAGCGGTTCAGTAACCCTCACTAAATGCTGACTGGGAACACTCCTTATTAGGGACAATTCTGGTGAATTAACCGGCCTAACCATTACACACAAAGACCAGCGCCCTAATCCTTCTACACTATCACATTCACCAGACCACGTAAGACTTTGTTATTCTCACAGATAGGGAGTTATACATCTGCTCCCCGTCGTCTGGAATTCTGATTAAATTGATAAAACTTTGATATCATTCGTACAGATGAGTTTGACGAAAGTGTATTACTTTTTGGAACTGTAGATCATGTCAAGTGAAAATCTATACTAAACTCTTTATCATCATTATTATCATTATTAGCAATATTAGCATTAGCATTAGCATTAGCATTATTATAATTAATATTATCATTATCATTAGCAATATTCTCATAATTATCATTATCACTATTTTCATTGTAATCATTATTGTTATTATCATTGTTATTACAATTGTTATTATTAGTTATTCTACCCCCTTACAAACGAGAATACCATCCTAAAAAATAAATACGGTTAGAGGAATCTTTAAATCCCCGCAAAGCTTGAACAAAAAGCACAATCTCAGAAACTCAGCTAAATCCACGACGTTCCGATTTCACAACGTTCACCAGCCTATAGGCCTATGTGACAATCGCAGTTACAAGACTTATTATCAAATAAGGTTTACATAGACCTTGTATATCAAATTATGGGCTAGTAAATTACCTGACTTGTGACCTGTCGCGTATTTGAGCGTTGATTAAACTGCCAGACTAGAAATATGCGAAATTTTCACTTATTCCTTGTCACAGATTAATTAGAATGTTCAAATTTCTATCCACTCTTTGCCCAGTCTTCTATGAATCACATTAACATAAAAATATAAAAAGACAGACACATTTTTTCACAGTGTTTTGAAGTTATGGGGAAAGAATTCTGAATGTCTTTATTCTTGTTTTAAAAGTTCGAATTTGTCACACTTGATACACAATATAAAGCCTATGGCGATGTTCAGATAGCTTATCGTTGGATACTCGCGATCTTGATAGTACTGTCTAAGTAACTATGAAACATCATCGATAAATGCGTAGAGAGGAAACAGCACTGGTTGAAATTGTTCACTGGACATTCTCAGACTATGAGTAGTACATACCGTGAGAAATAAAAACCACACGCACACGCACACGCACACACACACCACACACACACACACACACACACACACACACACACACACACACACACACACACACACACACACACACACACACACACACACACACACACACACACACACACACACACACACACACACACACACACACACACACACACACACACACACACACACCACCCTCTTCACTTCCCTTACCCCAACCCTACCCAAGCTCTGCAGAACTCGCATACAACTCACAGGCCCTAAACACACATTCCGAGCTCCGTTTTCCACATCACACTTACCTCTGTCATAGTCCGCCTTGCACAATGGCCTGACCCGAAGACCTGTTCCTGGCGCGTGGTTCGTGACCCCGCCTTTCATGTGGGTGACCTTTGACCAGTCCAGCTTGGCCAGCAGTCCCGGGTCATACAAGGGCGCCTCTGCATCTTCGGGTCCTACACTAGGCTGGTATGGGCGTCGAAAAAAAGGAAATATTAGTATTTTTTCATGAATTCTGGAGGGTGTGTAATTTTTTTTTTCCAGGATTGTAGGATTTGGTGAGTGAGAAATAACTGGAGGATTTGTGGTGCCAGTCTTTTCGTAAATTTTGTGATATCAAGTGCTGATAATAGAGCAGGTTTTATTCAATTCTTGGAAATAACGCTGTTTTACGGCATCGTTGAAATAAAAATGAAGAGTACGACACAAAGGATAGATTGCTAAAAAAAATATAAAGCTAAAAATATATCATTTGTATTTACTTTCCAAAAATGTGTGAATCGCATGCCTCTGTGTGTGTGTGTGTGTGTGTGTGTGTGTGTGTGTGTGTGTGTGTGTGTGTGTGTGTGGTGTGTGTGTGTGTGTGTGTGTGTGTGCGTGTGCGTGTGTGTGTGTTGAGTGAGTGAGGGAGTGTTAGTATTTATGTGTGTGTATCTGTACGTGTACTTGTGTTAATGTACGTGTACGTGTGTATGTGTACATGTAGGTAAGCCAACGTCTACATAAACGTGTGCGTGTGCGACAACGCATTTGCTTGCACGTGTATGTGATGTCCACGGGAAACGAAGGAGACAAGGAGAGGATGCGGGATGGAAGAAATAGAGATTGACACCCCCTCCCCTTCACCGACCACCATAAACGAGTGACCATCATGAGGCCTTCGCTTTCTATGAGGAAGTAGGCCTAAGCTACTTTTTTTTTTTAATCTCAACAGCGGGTTCTGAAGGAAAGGCATCGCATAGCAACAGAGACAAGAAAGACGATGTGGAAGCCATGTCGAACAAATTGCAAAAGGAACACACGATGGGAAATAACGTGAAAACCCACGAATATGAAATGGCAATACAGCCAAAAGGCCTTGGTCATATTCGTGTGTTTTCATATTTCCTTCGTTGTTCCTTTGCAATAAAGATGATGTTAATACCAGTGTTATAAGTTTTGTAACCGCATGGAAGGTAACAACATGAGAAGCGACATCAACGGTATACTTAATAATCATGATAACAATAACAGTAGCATTAGTAATGTCAATAATTATAACAATAACAACAATAATAATAATAATGACAACAATGAAAATAAGAGCAATAATAATAACAATAATAATAATAATAATAATAATAATAATAATAATAATAATAATAATAATAATAATAATAATAATAATAATAATAATAATAATAATAATAAGAATAATAAGAGATAAAAAAACAACAATAATCAAATTCATAACAATATCAAGTGGTATTCGTGGAATAAACAAAGCAGTAAGATCACATGACCCACTTCGAGCTTTGTCACATTTCCTTTAATTAAATCGTGTGACTCCTTATCTATCTAACTTCTCAAGCGTGACGACAGCTTCGACTCCAAAAGATGACGTGCCGCTGATAAAATAGCATAAATGGTCTTTTTGTACTTTGAGATCTATGATAAGAATAAAGTTAAATACATATATATATATATATATATATATATATATATATATATAATATATATATATATATAGGTATATATATATATATATATATATATATATAATCATCTCAAAGGTTGCTCGCTGTAGTCACGGGAGGAGAAATCGTTAGAAAATAAAAAGCTGGTGAACACTTTCTAAATTTGCGCTTTGAGGGGGAAAATATATATATGTATATATATATAAGTATATATATATATATATATATATATATATACATATACATTATATATATATATATATATATATATATATATACATATATATAAATATATACATATAACACACATATGTATGTATGTGTGTGTGTGGGGGTGGGGCATCGTTAAGTTTGATATTCAGATAATATCTAGTTATCTAGTTCTTCTAAATCCTTACTAAAAAAAATAACTAATTTGATGAAAATTGACAACAAAACGACGCAACAGGAAACGGAGAGCAGTGAGAACGAGATCACAGATAAGGGTGAGAAATAAAACAGATGATTCGATAATGCGGCAAAAGAGAGTGGGGACTATCACACGAGAAAAGATTCTGACCCAATTTAAGAAGCTATCAGCAGGAAGGAAGAGTGCTATGACTGTCAACTGTAGCATCCCTATAGCAAGGTAGGCCTATATAAACAAAATCAGAAACCATTTCTGTAGTGTGAGAAATACCGTAATAAATTTGCAAATACAATTATCAATTTCACCCATTTGTGGTCTATGGGAAATACCGTAATATCAAACGTGTTGGTATTTCCAATATAACAATCAAAATAACAAACAAAAAGTGATAATAACGTTTCAGTGATAAAACTAACGGAAGTAGGTTCCCGCACAGGTACCATTGCACTCATACAAATCAAACGAATAAAAGTGTATAACTACTTTTAACTGATTGCACCTGTTCTAATAGGTAGACGACAGACACCTGTGGCTATTTCAAGGACAGGTGAAATTATGTTCTCTATGCTGAAGTGAGTGGTCTATTCACTTTAAAATCTTATCAAAAGCGTAAAAAATACGGGAAGTCTTTTAATACACGCATCAAGGAAACTGAATGTCACAACAAAATCCATTTTAAAAAAGGATGAAAAAACACTGTGCATTGAGTGTACATGATGTAAACAAGTGCAAAGCCATTCGTGAGATTTAAACGAATGTCATTTCAAAGTGTCAAACCACGCAAGGTGTAAGAGTAAAAGAAAAAACGAAATAAAATCAACTGTAAAGGAAAAATTCAAACACAATGCATTTTCAGAAGTTACATGCAAGAACCAAACACTACCACGTCCTGTTCGCTGAGAGATACTGAGCCGTGGCGGGTACAAGCTGCGGCGCTGAAATGGTCGCGGTACAAATTTCTTGGAAAAAGCGAAAAAAGAACCAATCTGCGGTAATAAAAGATTCTGTGATATGATGGGATATTGATGGAGGGGGAGGAGAGGAGAGGAAGAGGGAAAGAAGGAGAGAGAGAGAGAGAGAGAGAGAGAGAGAGAGAGAGAGAGAGAGAGAGAGAGAGAGAGAGAGAGAGAGAGAGAGAGAGAGAGAGAGAGAGAGGAGAGGAGGGAGAGGGAGGAGAAGGAGGAGAGGGGGAGAGAGGACAGGGAGATAGGAGAGGAGAGAGAGCGAGAGCGAGCCAGCGAGAGAATGAGAGAGAGAGAGAGAGAGAGAGAGAAGAGAGAGAAGAGAGAGAGAGAGAGAGAGAGAGAGAGAGAGAGAGAGAGAGAGAGAGAGAGAGAGAGAGAGAGAGAGAGAGCGTGAAAAAAGAGTTATTAGGGGGAAGGTTGAACAAAAGGGAAAGGGTACGAACGTGAACCTATAGGTCTATAAGCCCTGAGGACCTACGACCTGACCCTACACATCCATGGGCAGTAATGATCGATTTCCAACTTCAAATTGCCAACCTACAGGAGAGAGAAGTAGTTTATGACTGCATTTGGGTGTAGTGACAATTCTTATTTCGTAATTTGCATTCGAAAAAGGTTTTCTTGTGGAGGTTTCTACGTCGATCGAGAGGTAAGTAATAAACAAGATAATTAATGGAAAGCCTTTAGAGTTTTGGTAACGTGAGCAGAGTAATTAGGGAGAGAAATTTACCTGACAGGTGATTCCGAAAAGTAACTCGCAATGAATAAGAACTATTAATTATATCAATAAAAGACTTTCATTTTTACCATATTTATATTTCTAACTGTATTCATGAGGTTTTTATACACATTATTTGGAAGTCCGGAGTGGTATACAACGTATATAACACATCATATGTTCCTGATCACCATTTCCCACACACGTTAAACATAATTTAACTAATACTATTACTCTGAATAAAAAATTACTTGACCTATTAAACATAAAATACCTCAATAATCCAACGTTTAAACAGAGTTAATCTTAGTTAAAAGTAATCCTTCAATATAAAACAGATGAATACCATTTAATTGACTTTTTAAAAATCTTATACCACATTATATAACATCTTCGTTTTCTCTAAACCCACATGAAACTCACCAGCTGTATATCAGGAGCGCCCATAGCTGCAGTATATACACACCTCCGGAGAACACACACACACAACACAGCACAAGTTACCGAGTGACTCAGTTATCCCGAGGGAGAGCAGAAGAGGTCTGAGAGAAGCGAATCTTTATCGCAGGTGAGACATTCGCTCTCGTGACAGTTGCAACGTTACGAATTTTTCTGCTTTCTTTGGCCATTTCCCACGTTGCTGTGAGCTTTTCACCCTCTCCTTAAAAGAATTCCACTCCATGCATTGATAAAAAACAGCAAGCTTAGTGCGTCAGACATTCGTGGGCTTTCCATACCTTGTATTTGTTAATGAAGTATTGTGACACTTTCGTATTCATTTTTGGGTTTTGATTTAAATGGATAGAATATTTGGTGTGTTGACAACTCGCCTGTCTGTGGCCATGAGACCCGTTAATCTCACAAGTTTGGGACTTTTTTGTGCCCTTTCCTAGTTTCCTTCCTTATTATTTCTCTTGCAAAAGAGCCATCATATGGTAATGAGGTATAGAACCGTCGATAGATAGTTATTTAGATTCCTGTCACTGGATATTTTAGAAGCTCAAATGTTGTGTGTCTGCTACGTCCACATCAGCTGTTGCGCGACTGCGGGTACAAACATAAATCATAGAAAGTATTTATAACATTAAAAACTCTTGCGAATTGTACTTTTTATGAGAAAAACGTAAAGATACCAAAAAACTTATTCAGGATGTCTGTGTAACCATGCGATAAGTAAATCAAAATATTATATGATTTGTTTCTGCGGTAGCTAAAGATAGCATATCGAATGAATGCACTATCCTATACAAATTATTTATTTTGTTTATGTTTTCAAAGCTCACAAGTACATTTCTGGTAATATCTGACATTAATTGGCATAGAAAAAAATAGTAAAGTCAGTGATATATAAGATGAAGAGTCAAACATTAGACAGTTACTTGGCATTACGAACTTTGTATATATTACAGTCACGATTAACATTTTCGTGTGAAGCCTAAATTGCAGTCATCATCAATTTAAAAGCTTCGTTTTCTTTATTTTCCCTTCGAGAAAAAGTTCGCCTCTTTATACACTCGGTCCCTGGTCCCGGCAGTACCATGGCGGCCTACATGACATCGTCTGCTCTGGCCAAAACAATCCTGCAAAACGAGAGATTCGCCCACTCCCTACTCAGACACAACATCCAGAGGAATATCCAGCAGAGGAGGAAAACCAGAGCAACATTTCCTGCGAGTTTGCCGGCGCTGTCGTGCTTTCATCCCTCGCAAACGGACGTCCAGAGTTTATCTTGGAGAGAATATCATTCCTTGAGAGAGCCGCGGAATATCCTGTCGAAAGCTCACGTCAGCCGCACATTTCTGAGTCCTCTGAATCATCTCGGTCACCAGTTCCTCAGTCACCAGACTCGAGATGAAGTCAGCTTTTGGAGATACGCGTGTATCAAGCACCCATGCCAAATAAGGTGCCTGCAGACGGGCGACGCAAGCAGGGAGGCCGGGGAGACGAGGGAGCAAAGTCCGGTGCGTGGACATTGGTTTTGTGTTTACCTTTTTAATTCTGGCATTGTTTTTTTTATGAATAGGTCTAAGGTTCATACGTGAAGGTATAGTGCTTTCCAGAGACAGCAATTGCTTTCATAGTGTATTTTCCTCGTGATTATTTTGGCTTGCTACTCTCAGGGATTATTTTGGAAGCAACAATAAATTAGCCATTGCATGTGCCTAGGAAAACAAGCGAATGGGGGATGGGGACCACCATAGATTTATGGTATAATCCTGTATCCACTATGGAAAGAAACAACAGGATAAAGTTGAAAGATTGCATGTTATTTTTTGAAGGACTGAGAGGACAGTAAAGTTACCAAGAGCAACGTACAGAGATAGAGGGAAATGGTTACTGCCATGTTATAGAACATAAGAAATAGAATAAAACACAACATATGCTAAACTGTAGAGTATTTTTCTTGCACGGGGAATATTACATTTTTTCATACCCTTAAAACAGCATTTTGTCTATATTTGCACGGATGGATCTGCAGACGGATGATGAAACAAGTGTGCGGAAAGGTCAAAAGAATTTTATGCGTAGAGGAATTAAAAAAGAACTTCACGTACACGGAAAGTTACCCGAGAAGTACATTTATGCGGACAGAATTTGACCAAATAATTTTTGCGCGGTGAACGCATTCTCCATGCAGACCAAACTCTACAGTCTGGAACATATGTAAAGCAGCCTCGTATTTACCACAAAATGACAAAAATATTAACTGCAGCCAGAGTTCTTAATGTCTGTTTTCTATAAATTGGCACAACAATTAGAAGGAAGGAAAGGTTATGTTGGGATTTTGGGTTCATATGATACCATGGTTTTGGGACTTAGTCGCTGAAGGGTTCGTCTCTTTCAAAAGCAGTTACAGTGGACATCATTTATGGGTTTTATTGAGGGCTTGAACTATCCCAATAATTTTTTCAAATAGTTCCACCAAAGGGATCATGATGATTTTAGTATTGTTGGATTCCTCCCACTCTAGTGACCAAGTATACAAATATTATTGTGCAGAAACCCCCCAACCCCCCACATTCTTGGCCTCAGTAGCAGTGGAGGGCATGAAAGGTTCTAGGGAAATTGGTAAAATATGACTAGGCCTAATATAGACAGAATCAGACTGTTGGTCTCAACCTCTGCCTAGAAATACAAAGAATCCTTCACGTATTCACAGTAGGAGAGAGCATATGACCACCATGGAGAAACGCCATTGCCAAGTCTGTCCAACACTCTCCTGCCGTGTGTAGAGGATTCTATGTTTTCCCGGGTGAGGGTTGAGGGTCAGTAGCCCCTCATGGGGGTGTTTGCAGGGGGCACAGCCCCTACATTGGTCAATATAGTGACTGATTCTGTATAGATTATTCATATTTTACCCTGCAATTTCCCTGGTACCTTTCAGGCCCCCTCCTCTGCTATTGGGGCCAAGCTTGTTGCTAATGGGTGAATTGGGCGGGTTCCACATAATAAAACCAACTTATTTGCATTGTAGTTAGTGATAGGAATCCAGTGATATCAATATCATCACGATCCATTTGGCAGAACTATTAGAAAAAATTACCACTATCTCAAATCCATTTGCCCCTGGGTTATATGTGAGACTGGAAGCCTTACATGTACAGTCAAGTTTTTTTAAAAGTCGTAACTTGTGTAGTTGAATTTTTATGTTGTCCAAAAATGCTCACTTGCTCAATTCATTGTTGCATTACTATTTTGTCTTATATAACATTATATTATGACTTTATTTATAATATTATTTATACATCATTTCTACACTATTAAAATGGGTTGTCATTGATAACCAAACCTAGTATGGTTCATTTTTAAAAACCTTAGCAATCATTTGTGTATACCTCAGTGGAGTAAACATTTTGACAAATAACAGAGTTGGAATGGTTCAAGGAACTTCTCAAAATATTTTGAGGAAATTTATTGAAAACTTTGCATTGACTTTTCTAGTGCCTTTAAGATTTGGCAATATAGTTTTTCTCAGAAAATATTTGTAGCTAGATTTGAAACAAAATGAAAGAAAGGCAACTACTGACCATGATTCTGATTTGAAAAATTGGTGTCACTTGACCACATTATGATTACACAATTCTGTTGCAGAACATAATCGGCCGGTTTGTTAAAATTGTGCCAGGCCCGACCCAGTGAATTTTCATAAATACAGATGCAGAAATAAAGGCATGTCTGTCTATATATTTGATAGATGAACATTTAACCATCTGCCGGGTAGATGTGCATGTCCATACTGATAAATATGCATTTATTTCTTTATTTATGTGTGTCAAGTATACGAATAGTCTTTAGGTCGGGCCACGCACAATTTTAACAAACCGGCCGAATATTATTATTTTGTGTGACTTGCCTTTCCATTGTTAAAGAAGCTCCACAACCGTTCCCTTGATAAAGTGAACCACACTTTGCCCAAACCATGCAGCATGGTAAACAGGCACTTTGACAACTTTGCCTGGCACCAAGTTTCCAGCGTGATTATAAAATAATGGGAAATATTCTCTCCAAAGAATCAAGGAAAAGGAGAAACAGATGAAATTAGTAAGCAAGGAGGCAATTGTAATAAAACAAAATTGCAGTAGACTTGACATATTTTTGTCAGCTGGGGCCATCAAGTTCTTCTGGCCATGGATGGAAGACCTATAATTTTGATTGAGATCTGTAGTGGTACATTGTCCAGCAAGCTCCACCTCTTATTTGCAGAGCAAATGGTTGTCTTATAAACATTTACCAAACATATATACGCAAAGTAATGCAAGTGATCACTGTGGTCTACACATTTGCAGTGCTTTTGTAAAAGCCAACTTATGTTCACCATATATATTCTGGCAAGATAGAAGTTTTACTGGTTCATATGAGATTTCAAATCACACTAAGGTTTGCCAGAATGTATAATGTTGAGGTTTGTTGGCCTCTCTTGGAGTACAAAATATGCATAGGCTGTCACTTGAGTCACAAAGAATGTGCTAGTGAGGGCCATAATCAATAACCATTCTGTGATTGGTAGATAAAAAAATGTGATTTGACACTTGACAGCAAAACTATCAGAAATTTCTCCAAAATTTCATTGATTGCCTGACATTTCTTGTCAGTTAACTTCTGTCAAGTCCATCTCACACCCACACTTCACAGAGTCTAAGTTCTACCTCAGGTTCTGACAGTTTAATTTATCAGAATCTTAGCCAGCATAAGTATAGCCTTGAGGTTGAATAACACTTTTTAATCATATGAAATATACTATAAGTATTACTTTGAGAATTATACCCATATGCACAGATACATAATACAATAATTTTTTTTCCAGAATCATGCTAATAAACTCTCTCATATTAGAGCCCATGATGCATGTCTTTCTTTTAGTTGTTTTTTTATTCCTCTTGTTACCAATTTATAGAAATAAAATTGATGATTCTCCATCATGGGAATCATTTGCCCAGGTTAAACAAACTTTTATTTTTCAGAATAATATTTAGGCAAGTAGGATCTGTATGAAAGCATCTGTTTGACCATGAGTGCTAGAATTATGTTTATGAGATATATTTATGGATAGATTAGAAACAAGATATATTATGTACTTCAGTATGTTTTAAAGGTTTTTAATAAATCTGACAGAGTGGTTTACCTTTTAGCAGCCAGTAAAAAATAATGATAATTGATAATATCAACCTGCCATTTGAGGATAATTTCTATAGACTTCTTTTACACAATTCAGAGGATCTGATAGAAAGTTATGCTATTAAGTCGCATCAAGGACATTTTCAAATGAAAATAAAAAAGGCTAGAGTTTGTCATGTGCTTTACTAGATCTTTTTATAGTTCATTTGTTAATCATATACTTTTGAACCCAATTTTATTTACTTTGGTAGCTTTCCTGCTAACTGATTGACATATATTGCTGCTGTTGGTGTTTTTTTGTATTGAAATTAACGGCTCAGAAATAATCTCACAAATTACACCAAAACTTTGACTGATGCTCTTTACAATTAAAAGGAGTGGCTATTTCAGAGTGCCATGATTTGAACTGCATTTATTTGTAACCGTAAAGGAGGAGTAGCTTAAAAGAAATGTCATGAATGTTTTGTTTTATTATGATTATTATTGTTTTTGTTAATATTATTGTTACTATTATTATTATAACCCTAAAAAATAGAGCCTACTTGTGTATCAACATATTTATCAAAACAAATGCCTTTAGATTTTATAAAGATGTGTATATAAATTCATACTCCTGTATATATATTTATTGTTACATTTTATTCACAGCCAGTAGCAACATGGGAGGCTGTAAGGGAGAAGAAGAACCAGTTCAAGGAAGCTGGCCAGGACCTGTTAGATGACATCAAAGAGAAGAAAGCAAAAGTCAGGGAAAGAATGGATGCTATCATTGAGGTATATGATTGTGTTTAGATTGATGAGAAAAAATGAACTAGTAAATAAGTAGATGAAAAAAGGGGAAAAAAATGAAAATAAGGAAATAAATGTCCTTTTCTTTGACCTAAGATGCAAGTAACTTAGGATGTGCAGAAAGTTTGTGGTAGTAGAATATACTAGTTATTCCCAACAGTGATTTGATAACCTGATTATTTTTCCTTCATATATCCCTAGCGTGAAAACATATGGACCATCCCAAACCTCCTGTGTGTCAGCCGCATTGCCTTTTCGCCATACTTGTGTCACTTAGTCCTCTCAGCTGATTACAACTGGGCTCTTGGACTCTTCATGTTTGCAGGGTTTACAGATTTGGTATGTGTGCAAGGTGTTTTATTATTGTATTGTTATGGAGGGTTGATAGTCACTGAGGAGTAATGTTATTCATTGAGAAAATTATTTTTTGTATGACAGTTATCAGAAAACTTTGTTTTTGTATTTAAAATATGTTATTTGAAATCTATATATTTTTTGTGAAAGTTATATAAATATTATCCTTTTGGTTGATGAAATCAGGTGAATTGCTGGATCATGATACTTTTTTTTGTTTTTGTTTTTTTGAGTTTATAAATCTTCTGAATTACAGGTAGCTTTTGATTACATTATTATCCTTGATACAGTCTGAACTGTGGTTACCACCATGACATGAGCTTTCCATGACACTTTACAAGTTAAATGATTAGGGTTGTAAACTGGAATCAAGAAGTTTATATATATTTGGAATATTATTATTACTACGATTAATTTTTCTATTCCTTTTTTCTTTTTATGAAGAAAATAACATACAAGTACATGATAATGGAATGATAAGCTTATTTACTTTTATATTTTGTTAATGAAGTACGTAGGCCTAAGTTATTGGTGATATATTCAACATTGAATTAAAGGTTTGAGAGTACATATTACCCACATTACAACAATTTGCAACCAAAAATCTGTATTCACTTTGATATCTAGTATCAGTTTAGAAGTTAAGATTATTGACTAAAGATATGGATATTTGTTTGTCATTAGATTCAATTACCTGTCCTCAGGTGCAAGATTATAGACTTAAAAATCAGCATATGCCTTCCAACCAAAATTAGCAATGAGGATATGTCTTGAAAAGTAATTATGATCATTAATTAACTGCATCCCTTTCTTGCAGCTGGATGGATGGATTGCCCGCACCTTCCCAAGCCAGGCTTCACGTCTTGGGAGTTTCCTGGACCCCCTTGCGGACAAGGTCTTGGTCGCCCTGCTCTTCCTCTCCCTTACTTATGTCGGTCTTATTCCATGTAAGTGACTTAGGAGTTTGTTAGATGATGGCATTACGTGGTTGATTTTTTTTGTCTGGTGCCAATATTTTGGATATTTTATTTGTTTTGAATTTGGCAGATTCAGTTTTATATTGATTATTATCTTTTTTTCTATAGAAAATCTCATTTAGTTAATCCATGTATTCGTTATATTATAAAGAGCTTGTAATAATTCTAAATCACTGCTTTTGTGATTATATTTCTGCTTTGATCTTGTTACTGAATTCTGTGTTGGAACCACATAATGTATACATGCCATATCTGCTATGATTTTAGTTTATTGATTGTGGCTACACATATATGGCTCCATAAATATTTCATCACCAATGGGTCAGTCACTAGTCCTACTTATCTTAGATTTTTTAAGAATTGATATTGCTATTGGCATTTTAAGATGGATGGACTAAATGAATGTTATTAGCATTAGAAGAAGTCCCCTAAAATCTAGGAATGGGGAAATCAGAAGATGCCATGTTGGGCTACTAATGCACTTCTTTGTGGCTAAGCACTTGTAGAGGAGCCTACTATATACAACAAAGTTCACAGCAGACAGTATATATATCTGTGTACAAAGAGTTAAAACATACTCCTTATTTCTGGAAGTATCAAGTATTTCATAATTTGTTTTATTTATTAATTTTTTTGATTACGTATGTATTTATATAACTTGAAGATTTAAGTATATATATAAGATTCTTAGATTGATATGGTGTTTATGCCATATTAGAATTGATTAATTATTTATATATCCATTGTTTGCAGTTTGTGGAAAGAATTGCTATTTACTCTATACTTACTGCATATTTAGATTGCTTGTGCTCATATCTAGTGATCATGGTGTGATGGCCTTGAAGATAATTACTGTAGACATTTATGATTGATGATAGAGTGCCTGTTCTTAATTCTTGAATATGTAGTTTGTTTTCTGAAGTGGTAATGTGGGCCAAGCAATTTTGAAAGGCTTACAGAATGCAATTTTATGTCTACAACTTTCTCTTGCTTGATAACATGGGTGATACCTGTTTAATTTGGCAGTGCCACTGACTGGACTGATTATCTACCGTGATGTCCTCATTATTGGTGGTGCTTCCTATGTGCGGTACAAAAGCCTGCCACCTCCGGTAAGTATTTCAGTCTCTCCTTCATCCCTCCCTGTCTTTTATCAGATTTATATTATGATGGATATCATTTTTTGAAAATGTAATTGTGCAGGTCTGATGGTGGCTTATAATCTCTTTAATTAGATGTCTTGATTATGATCAGCATATTGTCATCTTAACTTTTTGAAGACAATTTGGTTTCTATCCTGAAGAGTACTGACTGGAAATTCTTGGAAGAAAAATGACTGCATAAATGTTATTGTGGAATGTCTTCTCAGTCGGAACAATCATTTACCATACAGAAAACCATCTCTCGTTACTTCGATGCAACCCATGCCACTGCCCAGCTAGCTCCAACAACCATAAGCAAGGTTAACACTGCCATTCAGCTTAGCCTTATCACTGCCTCCCTCGCAGCTCCAGTCTTCTCCTTCTCAGACCACTACCTTCTGACTGGACTCTGGTAAGTAACATTAGCTGTATGTGTTTAGGATTTAGCCATTATAGTTCTTTTAACTTTATGACAATTTGTTTTTGAGGATTTTGGGATTATGGTAGATGCATTTTGTATATGGCTTGTTGGATATATTAGTCATAGGCTTATGAATATGTATGCTGTTCATGTATCTTTCATTTTATTTACTTAGATTAAGTTATAACCTATTAATTTATTGAATGCAGATGGGCTGGTACCATGCAGTGGCTGTGTGGACATCATCACTTAGTTTTGTCAGGACTTGTCATTCTCTGATTGGTGCATTTGTTTAGGTGTCAAATAGGTACCACAACCTGAAGTGAAGGGAAACCTTCTTTTTTTCAAACATTTGCTTGTAATATCTGTCTATGAGCAGTTAATTATTCCATGTTGTGTCTGCCATATTGAACAAGCCAAGTGGAAATGGGAAATTGCCATTGTGTATTATTATTAAAGGCCACTGGACAGTTTCTAATATTACAGTTATTGGGTTAACTCCTGAATGACTGCACAGTCACTCATAATTGGTACTGTGAATAACCAGCTAGTCATCCAGAATCAGCCATTTATCATTTTATGTAAAGTTGAGAGTAAGCTGTGTAGAAATTTTGCTGAATGTTTATCACACCTTGTATGTCCCATAAGGGCAAGACATGAACACAACACAATACACCATGAAACGTATCCATGTTGACAAATGTAGAAAAGGTATGAATGAGACTGGATATCTTCACAATACAAGAGATGTATTTGACCGGTTTCGATTACGTCTTCATCAGAAATACATGCATTTCTGATGAAGACGTAATCGAAACCGGTCAAATACATCTCTTGTATTGTGAAGATATCCAGTCTCATTCATACCTTTTCTACAATACACCATATTCTGGTATACAAAGTTGCAAAGAAAAATATGTATTGTTATATGAAAGTCATATTCTTATGTTAAAATCATACAGAGAAATATTGTAACATGGAAACCATACATAGAAATATTGCTACATGGAATTCATACATATTCATCTACATAAATAGATATAGATATAGATTATATATAGATTATATATATATATATATATATATATATATATATATATATATATATATATATATATATATATATATATGTATATATTATATATATATATATACATATATACACACACCCACACACACACACATGCATGTGTACTTGCGTGTGTGTGAGTCAGTGGAATATTTTATTTCAACATGATTCATTTTGTTTTTAGCATTTCATTGGGGAATTCAGTTTTTGATGCAGGAAAAAAAAAAAAAAAAAAAAAAAAAAAAAGCTCTAATATATAAATTGTTAAAGCAAATTATGACTTGCCTTGAAAGAAAAGAAAGAAAGGAAAAAAAAATAAGTAATATACCATAGACTGATTATTATTGCTTTAACAAGTAGGCCTGTTTCTTACATAGAAGTTAAAAAAGAAATTAATTTTTGGTCTCTGGAGACAAAAGATCATACCCTTTAAAAGATAAATTTCCCTTCATGTTTTCCAACTTCAGGATATTAGCAAGACCATAATACGTAAAATCTCTTTATATTGCAATTTAGAACTTACACACTTACAAAATCTCTTTTTTCCAGCTGGGTGACTGCAGCAACCACTCTAAGTTCAGGCATTAGTTACATCTTCTCAAGGAATACGTATAAGATCCTAGAAAAAATGAAAGAAGAATCCAAACAATGAAGAACTTGTGGTAACTTTTGCTCCATTTGTCATCAACTGATGTACTCAATACCGTGTTCAGGGATTCTGAAGTTCACTGATTGATATTAACTTGAGTGCAGGTTATTCCAGCTCGTATTTTTCTCTGAATCGTTTTCAGTATAGTCATCTGTTAATTTGTTGTATTCAATATTGTGTTCCCAGGTACTTTTGAGGTTTGCTGATTGATATTATCTTTGCAGTTATTTCAGTATATACATTTTTTTTCTCTGAATTGTTTTCTGTCTAATATTCTTCATGTAGATAAACAAAATGAATATGAATGCAGTTATTATCTTCCGTTATTGTAGCCTGTTTACATTCAGTTGTATGTCTTGGATGATTTGACCATTTTTTATTGACTTTTGCATCATATATTTGTAAATTTATGCGTCAGATAAGGTCGAAAGGGCTATATTTTTACAAAACAGCAAAATGGTATATTTTTTACAAACCAGCAAATATGGAATGATTGTTAGTGTAAACATAATTAATATAATTTCAGAGATGGCATCCTCTCACCTTTTTAATAGAATTTGAAAGTTTATGTTTCAAAATCTTTTTGTTAAATCTATTCATGTTTGGTTTCTATTCTGTTGTCTATTTCTATTTCTATTCTGTTGTTCTTTTTTGCTTTTATATGAGATTAAAAGCTTGTAAAAAAATTGTGAATAAAGGAAGTATGACTATAATGCTATCTTTTTAGTGCTTATGCAAATGTATTTATTGGTTAACATAATTTGATACATGGAAATCTTAGTTTTGTTAAATATAGGTATCCAATCAAACAAATGCAGTTGAATGCAACCAAACACACACAGGCATATATTCTTAGATTCACACACACAATTTAGTTCTGTGATAAGGAATGTACATTACAGTTTGCGCATCATTTGTATAGAGTATCTCCTTTAGATTTCACTAGTGAGTTCAGCACCAGAAACAATACTAGGAAGGTCTACAACAGTGGGTTTTAAGCTGGAGGACGTCAGTAATTTCCAAGTGGGGCATGACCCCTTGGAAAAAATCAGGAATTTCTCTGACTGTATTTGTTATTTGACCAATAGCATGGTGAAATAATTAAAAGTTTAGCAATAATGTAACTATTTTATGCTCAATTAAAAAGGCTAAGAGCATTTTTTTTTTTTTTTTTTTTTTAAATCTGTGAGGGAATTTTATTCATATATGCAAGGGGGCGTGGAGGGAAGGATAAATTCTGAGAGGAGGCAGGGTAATAAAATGGTCAAGAACCACTTGTCTACAGTATGAAATATTTTTGATCGATTCCTGGTCAGAATTTTCATAGTTAATTTTTTTACAACAAATTCAGGTCCCGTGATCAGGTTAATACATGATTTTATCTTTACTGACAAAAGCTTTTCTACTGTATTGAATAGGTATATTTCCAAGTTTAGATGTGTTTGGTATATATATATATATATATATATATATATATATATATATATTATATATAATATATATATATATATATATATATTATATATATATATCTATACCTATAATGTATGTATGTATGAATACATATATTTATAAACATATGTGTATATATAAGCATATAAAACAACAACATTTTTTTTTTCTCTCTCTTTTTAACTAATCAATTTATGTTTTTGAAAAACACAATGATAATATTTGATATAGATCTTTGGAAAGAAAAAAGAAGAAAAATCAATTTTTCATCAATATTATTTTTCTCTCAAAGCAACTTTTCTTGATCAGTGATTTGGAAATGTGACACGCTTTAGAGTGTATGCATGTATTTCTTAATGCAAGCTTGGTATAACATGGGTTTAATTCATATATGTATATATTATTATGTCTTATTTTAATTTTTGTTTATTATAATTTTTTTATTACTTTCACTTTTTATGAACCAATTTTTGGTTTTGGGTTTAAGAACTGTATCAAAACAGAACAAATAGAATGTAGCTGGTGGTAAAAATGCCATTACAATCTGTTTTATTATGAAAAAGTTGATCTTTATATGAAATGGCTATAAGGTTGCATTTCAGTAAATGCCGGCAGAATCATGTGACTGCCAATATAATTATCAGAAACAAAAATGGCTCAGAAAATAATGTTCCAGGGTTTTCGCATGTGGATGATAAAAATGAAAAGAAAGCTTAATGCCTCTCGAATGGAGTCATCTTTTTGTGATATCTCTATGTACATGTGATGGAGACTTGTTGGCATTTCTTTTTTCTTTGTCGTTCAATAATTCCAAATGCCCTGAGATTAAATGTTCACTCAGAGTGATTTAACCTTTTTTTATGAATGTTTTTTGTTGATATTTTGTTCCATTACACTGTTTACACATGTAACATTTGTTCTAAGAAGTCTGTCCACCGAACAGAAAGTTTATCGACTTGAACAAAAGGGGATTAGCAAATGAAATTGTTATAAAGTTCATATGATATATTTTTAAACTTGATGTACATGATTTATAACATGAAGTACTGTTGATATGAGATAACATACCTTTTAAACTTTTTAAAAGGTTTGCTTTGAATATGTGTATCTAAAAAGTGTTCCTCAGAAAAAAACAAGTAGCTTCCGAGGCCAAAGGATATGGGTAATGTCTATACTCAATAATATCTTTACTCAGGAGCTGTACGTCCTGCTAAAGCATTAACAATGTGTAGCATGATTAAGTTGATACAAAACAAATGCATTGTTAGTTGATTAATATATTTTATATTAGTATATAAAGGGTATTTTTGATTATGTCTAGAATATGTATGAATAAAAAAAAAGACTGAGGATGGTTATCATGTACAATTAACTAATATGTTATCTGGTTATTCTCTATTTGGAATTGTTCAAGAGGTATCTTCAGAAATGCTGCATGAGTGTTCTCAAGATTTAGCAAGAGAAAATCCTTTTACTATATATTTTACCTTCTTCATGTGGTGCTCAGTTACAGGGAATTTATATACCCTTTTTCTTTGATGCGTGTGTGTTACCAAGAAATACAAATATGTTGGTTCATAAATGTGGGAAATATTTTTCAAAAACTGTAAATATTTGTAGATAGACGAAAGCATTTGATAGTTGATTTACAAGGTAATTTGACATATTTGATAATAAAAATATGTTTTGAACCAGTTGTTTCTTTTCAGCACTTGATTTCTGTGTGGTGAATTTAATTAAAATTGGAATATAAAATGCTATATATTTGTTTTTTATTTAAACAGATTTGAAATGGTAATACTCCTGGCAATCCTCATGGTATAAAATACTTCATGTATATGTGCTTGTATCAGTATATCTATCTGTAGATAGATAGATATAGATATAGATAGATAGATAGATAGATATAGATATGTATATATATGTTGTATATGTATATATATCTATGTATATACATGTTGATATAGATATTAATTTGAAAGATGTAGTGATTATAATTGTTAAAATGTTTTGGATTGCCAAACCCCACATATATATCTATTTACGATATTTATATTTTGAATGCATATCAATATAGAAAAATTTAGTGTTTAAATGTCCAGGATTTTGTACATGTACATCAAGAACTATTAGAGGGAGTTACAATAATTATCTATAAAGAGTTTGTTTCTTTAATTGTTCACAGTTTAATGGAGGGTAGGAAGTTAAGTGAGAGTGCAGGCTTGTCCTTCCTTAGAGCTCCTGGCTCTCCCCGACACAGGTATATTCAGTTCCGGCTATTAAAAATCTAGTTTTACCTGGAAATTAAAGGTTGTAATGCTGGATAATTGAATTGACATAAATTTTTAATCCATATATATTAAATTTTGATATTTCAGACTGCACCTTGACACTCATCCTGAACAGAGAGCGTGGTTGGGGAAAATATGTGGCAAGAACAACATGTCATTAGAGTAAATTATGACAATTATCTAGAATTTGTTGGTTTAAATGTTTACACTTAAATGGGGGAGGAAGTCAAGGGAGAGAGTAGGCTTGTCCGTCCTCATAGCTCCTGGCTTTTGTACCCCACACAGGTATGTCCAGTGCCAGCCATTAAAGATCTTATTCTATCTGGAGATTAAAGTCTGTAATGCTGGATAATTGAATTGATGTAAGATATGAATCCATACGCACTGAATTTTGAGACAGCTCCTTGATTCTTATCCCACAGAGAGAGGTTTTGGAAAATTTGTGGTGAGAACAACATACCAAGGTGTTGCCAGCCTAATATCAGTAGATTTTTTTTCTTGCTCTCTCCATTATTATTATTATCATTTATTATCATCATCATCATCATTATTAACTGAGGCATGGTTATAGCAGCGGAATTATTCAAAGGAGACCACTCCATATGTGGCAAGGGAATGAATTGGTAATGGAACTATAGATCAAAGTAAAGTGTAGGAAAGAAAAATCATGCAATTAACATCATGCATTAACAATCATGTGATTGTTAATGATTTACAATTAGTAGCCAAAGAAGGTGTAGAGTTAACTTTAGAATTTAATTTGGTAAAAGAGCATATGCCTCTTTTTTCTTATAATGTTTATTGTGGAGGTTTTCATTGTGATATGCCACTTGTTTATAATTATTTGTTTATATAATGAAAGGAATTGATTAAAGCTGCTTCTAATTGTTGTAGCCTCGGAGCTCACACTCAACAGTTATGAATTCAAGCTACCCCACGGGCCTTCAGACCTTTAACTCATGCTAGTCACAATATAATTAGGTAAGTCAAATTGGGTCTTCTCAGTGTATCCTATGAACCGAAAACCCTTGGTGGTGGTAGCAATATTTAAGAATTTCAAGGTCATGTTATGGGATAAAAATTTAGAAACGATTGTGTAGTTTATACCATTTTGAAAATTTCCCCAACAAATTGGCAGCAATAATTTAGTAAGAATATATTTTTCATTTGTTTATGAATAAGTGAACCTGACTTTGCGGACAAAATTCTGACCGACATTTGGTGGCAGGCATTTTTGAATATGTGACAGCATTAAAGTTCTTATGCACACATGCACATGCACACACACACACACACACACACACACACACACACACACACACACACACACACACACACACACACACACACACACACACACACACACACACACACACACACACACACACACACACACACACACACATACACACATACACACACACACACAGTTGAGAGAGAGAGAGAGAGAGAGAGAGAGAGAGAGAGAGAGAGAGAGAGAGAGAGAGAGAGAGAGAGAGAGAGAGAGAGAGAGAGAGAGAGAGAGAGAGAGAGAGAGAGAGAGAATCCTTTGCTGTTATCTTAGAAGTAATTCCAGCTTGTTCCCTCATCAAATTATTGCGATCCAATAATACTTACTTATACAAATCTTAGTACACCTGTCACCCATCACGTGCCTGCTTCTCACTGAAGATTAGCGAGGGTAACCTTTCTTATTTCATCCTCCCCAAAAGACAAGAAAAGAAAAAAAGAATCAAAACACATCGAGTTCATTGCCAGAGTATTGTTTCCTCTAACACACGCACACACACACTCACACACACTCATATATGTATATATACACATGTATATATATTAACGTATACACACACACACACACACACACACACTACATGTATATATATATGTATATATATATATATATATATATATATATACACATATATGTATATATATTTACGTATACACACACACATACGCACGCACACGCA